GCACAGTGAAAAACAAAGAATCTGCCCAGTGCCGAAGTAGATGAGAAAGGGACACAGAGCAACTCAAAAGTCAGAATGACTTGAGCCCAATAATTATCAGAGACATGAAGGAGCATGAAGTGTTGGGCAATGCATGAGGGCACTAAAAAGCATGCTTATTTACTTAATTCTTTAATTGATTTCTTCATTTATTACAGCCTAGCCTGGTTTCCCTTCTCTCCTCTCCCCCCCAATCCACTGTTCCTCCATTTCTGTTTAGGAAAGAGGCAGGTCTGCCACACAAGTATCAACAAAACTTTTTTTTAAGCTACATCAACTGGTCCTTGCTAGGTACCACGTTAATGGGGGATAATTTTTAGTTTCATATAAACTGAACTCTTGAAAGCCAAATAGTAGTTGTTGAATGTGCATTCAAACAAGAGAGCTTCGGAAAACACTTAAATCAAAACCTCTTCAGACTCTGTCTTTACCATGGAAATAAGAAGTGCTCTAAGTGTATGACAGTATGCCCAAGTACCTGCCTTTCTTTCAGAGTTTTCCACACAGGCAGAATCCCCTGGAGTGATAGAATGGTGTTCATTAAGGGTGATCAGCTTGAAGTTGGCAGAGGCTCAGAAAAGAAATAATATAGTTCCTAACAGCCTGTTGATAGGGAGAGGAGATTCAGATGATGCCAAGAGCAAGACTTCAAGTAGGAGGATGAGTGGAAAGGTGAGGAGCTGGGGCTCCAGCACCATAGGGCAGGGCGGGTGAGTGTGAACTAGAGTGTGGCTTGCATTCTCCTCCCAATTAAGTGCTTACTATTATGAGAGCTAAAAACTCTTCAAAATGAATAAATGGGTTAAACAGAATGGGGATTACCATTTAAGTAGAGCATTCTAACTTTGCTGCAGATCATGGGAATTCTAGAAAATCACAAAGGAGAGAATTAGCTGAACCAAACAGTGTGATTTAATGGGAAATTTATTTTAGAAAAGAAGCCAAGGAAAATTTCTGGAGTGCAGTAATTTAGAATTAGAGGCATTTGTGTACAGAGCAATGTCCATGGATAAAGTTAAGTAATAGGAATGTTCAGAAAGGCCTAGAAAAATCTGCCACAGAGACCTCAGGCACTTTATAAAGAGTAACAAAGAAAAATGGAAGTGATTTACGGAAAATAACCAGATAGTAGAATTTGACCTAAATTAAACCAAAACATTACTTATACATGCTGCCTGCCTGTCAGTAGAGGAACACATGTGCATACATGTACATTCACATATAAGTGAATATACACAAATACAAACGTGTACATATATATATATATATATATATATATATATATATATATATTCTTTCCTACCTCAGAAATCACCCCAAGATCATTCCTTTTATAGTATAATTAAAACATGCAATGTTGCCCATTACTGTTATTGATTTGTGTGTATAATGGATTGAACAGAAAAATTAATATTAACTAACATGGCACTTCACTGCAATGTATATTTCATGAAGTCAGGAAAATGATAATTATTAAAAACACTAGGTATAGCTTCACATTATACCCCACACCAAACATGCTCTTCTAAGGGGAAAAACCAAATTCTCAGCCCATGATTGCAGAAAAAGAAGTTTTTGTAAAGTCTGAAATTTAAAATATATCCCAGAAATTAGATTACATAACAAAATATTGTCTCAGAATATAAATACTTTTTAAGCATTTTAAAGGATCTCTTTTTTAAAAAACCCATAAAATAGAAACATTCCAATTATAAAATTTCCTCAGAAAACCTCTATTGTGCTTTTAATTCTTTGCTAATTTAAGGTTTTGTTTTTGTTTTTTTTAACAAGCTTAATTGGGTAGAGCTCTCTCTCTCTCTCTCTCTCTCTCTCTCTCTCTCTCTCTCTCTCTCTCTCTCTCTCCCTCTCTCTCTCTTTTCATTTAAATTTCATAAGAAAGAGATTCACAAGGCACATTCCCTCACTAGACTCTGTGTGGCCTATTTATTTAAAATGCTTCATTCCATATGGATTTCTTCTCCTTTATTTATTACATCCAGGAAGAATTTTCTCTAATAAGTTAGCAACTCAGATTTGAATTGCAAGCCTTCAAATCACAGTATCACACATGCCACCTGCCACAAATCTTCTAGAAGCACCAAAGAACACAGAGAAGCTCAAATTTCCATGTGGCCCAGGCGCCAACTCTGTGTGAGCCACAACCAGGTGGTCCAGAGAGGTCAAGGTTAAAGTTCATGGAATAATTTAGAAACAGATCTCAGCTTGGATCTCATTATGAAGCCTGAGAATACACCCTCTAATTAGAATGCAATTTCCAAAGCAGCCACTCCCTTGACTTTCCAGGGCTAAGTTTCATTCTCAGCAATGAAAAGTAAAAACAACCTCTTCACATTGCCAGATGTCCATTATAAAGTCTGCCTTAAATATCCAATAAAGAAGGCAACAGGCATCCTGGACAATGAAGACAACAGGAGAGCCATCAGGAACCACTCTCAAGAACAGATAAAGAAAACTCAGTCGGATTCCACAGTTACTCTCTGTGCTTGTGACTTTTGCAGCTCAGCTATCCCATGGAAGATTGGAAAAAACAGTAGGTTGTGGTTTGAAACGGTTCCCACACCCGTCCTCTTTTCTTTCTGATGACCTCTCTCTCCATCCATCAACCCTTGCACCTCAGTGGGATCTCTCACACATCAGTTCTATGGAAGCCAGCTGTCCTGTTCTTCCACGGTGCTCAGGGAGCCACACAGGACTCCTGGAACAGGACTGAGCCAGAACTGACTCACCGCAGACATTCCCTTCCAGCCCTGTGGAGTTCTGAGCCACCGGCTCCTTTCCCATGTCCTATTGTTATTACAAAAGACCAGCTGAGCCTCCGAATGTGCTGAAGGGTAAAGCAAGAAGAAAACACCCTTCTCCCCTAAAGTAGGAGGCAGACTTTGAACTAGGCAGAAATGGCTGAGGACTCTGCTGTGGAAGGCCAGGAAGGAAAGGCAGAGATCTACATAGAGTTCAAAATCAGCACATGCTGCTACAATAGAAAACTTCTCGATGCTGTCTAGAATGGAGTCATGTTTAAAATGCTACATGTTGTTCTACTTCAAATGTTTCTTATACATCCAACAAGACAGCCTTCATCTAGAAAAGTGTGACTGGGAAAATAGCAGAAATAAGGTTTTGGAATTTTTGATCTTCATTAAAAGTCAGCTGCTCACCCCCAAGTATTTGGAATTGTTTGCCAGCCTGGGTTTCCAGTGACATTACAGGCCATGACCATTATTTTCCCATATCTATTTATCTGCCAAATGTCCCAGCAGCACTCTCATAGGAGGTGATAGATCTCCAGATCGCCACATTCTTTCTGTGAACCTACACATTTGTTCCCAGATGCTCCAGTGTCCCATGGCACACACGGCATCATTATCTCAGTAAGGAAACTATTTCCTGCAGTATGTCCACTTAACCAGCAAAGACAATGGAAAGAATAATTCACTTTAAATCTTGCCTTTTGAACAATATAAATTCTGTGTCTAACTGTTTCAAACCAATTCTCCAAATCCTTATGCAACACTACATTTTGGGTTTTGTCTTAAGTGATCTTCTTTACCTTTTTCTGTGTGGGCTTTAACAAAGATTAGAGAAATAAATCAATTAAATGGAACACGTACAATTCTGTTTCTACACAAAGAGAAAAAAGGGGGTACTACACAGTTCCCCAATAAGTGGAGTTTCAATTCTCTCCTATGTACCTTAGTGCAAAATCTAGTTGCTAGGAAATCACAGACAAAATACACCAGCATATCATTAAATGTTACTTTTTCCAATTTTAGAGTCAATATTTTGATAAAAAAAGATGGCCAATATATGTTCAGGGATAACTGTTTACTTGAAATACTGTTTATTTGATTTTTTGGAAAAGGCTATATAAATCCTGTTCATCATTAATTTCCGGGTTACATTTCCTTCCTTCCCATTCCCTTCTCCAAAACAATAGAATCTTAATCTAAATTTAAAAGAACAAAAACTCATTTTAAGAGCCTTTTTTAAACAGAAAACCATAAATGTCCATCAATATTTTTACTTTACTATTATTGTTAATATTCTGGTACGTTGGTCTGTTTTTAGTGTTCAGTCAGGGTTGGGTATTCTAGAGAAAAAAAAAGAATGTAAAAAATTTTGAAAAAAATGTAAACAAAAGGAATCTATATTACGAATTGTCTAGAGTGGTGTATTAAATTTAAATTAGATAGTGCAACACTTGAATCCAAGAGATGTATTCTCTGTCCACTGTACCAAATTAATAATGAGACGAAATAAATCCTGAACAAGATTCCAAAAGATTTCCTTCTGTGTTTTTTCATGTGTGGCCCTTTACACTCACTCCTTTGATAACTTCTTTCCATGGCAAATTCACTTTGAACAATCTCAGGAGTCTAGGGGATTAGACATAAGTTCCATAGGCTCTAAGGCAGAAGTTCACAAAAAAGTCACATTCTGATCACTATCTAAAAGATTTCAGCATTTCAGAACATTCTCAGAGTGAAATAAATATGCCAGTGCATTAGAAATGCTGTATAAAGCAAGCCTGGGGGCTGGTATCACAAAGACACAAATAGTAACATGAAAATAGTTTTGGCTGCCAAATGAACAGAGACCTCAAGAGCATTGTCCTTTAGATGTCATTTGGTTTTCTTAGGGTCACAGTCCAACATATACTTAAGGATAACCTGATTTCCACTGCGTTCTTACTAGAGAAAGAGCTAACTTTGACTAAATCTAAATATAACAGTAGGGTATGACGTTACAGGTCAGTTCTTCCATTTTAAAAGAAATATGGGAGCTTTTAGAGCATTTACATCCCAGTTTTAACTCTGATGTTTTAGTACCAGGAAAAACACATTCAGATTTATAGATGTGTAGCAAAATAACTTGGAAAGACAGCTGAAGGTTTATCATAGTCATATCTCTGAGTCACTCAAATTTTCAATTATGATACTTACTTCTGACGAGTTCACCATCTGAAGGATTTTCCCAAACAGACTGGTCCCTCATCAGTCCATACTTGGAGTGGCTACTGGTAGCTTGACTTATATCATTCTCAGTATGGTCCTCATGGCATTTGTCTGAAAAAGATTAAACATTTATTATCATTTGATGAATGTTATATGTGTTTATGTATTATTTCTTTTCATTTTTTGTTTGTTTGTTTTTGGTTTGTTTGAGACAGTAGCTCATACAACAGAGGCCTGGAATTCACTATGTGGTAAATGATGAACTCCTGACCTTGCTACCTCCACCCCCCAACTGCTGGAATCACATGGGTGCACCACCAAATATGGATTAAATTTTTCTTACTGCTTCCAAGTCTGTCATGGCTTAAGGAAATATAATTATACCACTATTGACTATTGCATATGTTATTGGCTCAATAACATTTGCTGAACACCCACTATCTTTTCGTCATCAAAGAAAGGCTCACAATAAACGAAAATCTGTCAAGGTTGTAGTAAATAAATTTTAGCATGGCAAGTGATCTCTCATCATAGAGAAATGTAGAAAGGTTACATCAAGGATAAGGGTGACTCCGTAAGAGATAGGGGGCAGGTGAGACAGAAAAAGCATCAAAGGAGAAGCGACTACAAATGATTGATGGAGATGAAAGCCAGACCACAGCTGAATGGGAAGTGGCTGGGCAGTCAGCATATAGGAAACAAGTACAGAGTCCTCTCTGTAGAAAACTGGAGGAAAAAGTCAAAGAGTGCACAATGCTTCCTCAGAGATGGAAGTACTAAGGATGAGAGGTTGATGTGTAGGATTGAGAGTCCTCGGGTGGAAAGATAACATGTAAGGAAATGGGATGTCTTGTTGGGAGCAGAAGTCAAGCAACACACAAGCTATAACACAAGGTAGAATGCATGCCATGAAAGGTCCAGGAGAACTAAAGGGGTTCAAAAGAAAGGGGAAAAAATCTCATCAGGATTCAGAGATCAAGAAGGACTCTTTAGAGAAAGGAGCACATTGGATGGTTTCTAAAAGATTAGAAGAACTTCAAAAGTCACATGGGAGAAAGCTGGAAGAACAGCATGAGAAAACTCCAAAACACTTGGCCAAAAGTCCCAAAGCTGGGCTATGAAGTGCTTTCAGAGGGACAGGAGGTAAGACTGTAAAGTTCTCATGAAGCCGTAACATGGATATTTGAATGCCAACATGGGAAGTCTGGATGTAATTCAAAAACAAGATGAACAAATCAAAGTAACCATTGAAGCTTTATGAAATGCCTAAGCAAAGCTATGTATTAAGAAGAGTCATAAACAGTTACATCTGCATTTCTCAATCCAAGTTGGGTGGAGAACATTTTAGAAAAAGCAGATTCCTAGGCCACAATAAATAATTCTATTTCATCAAAGTGATAAGGATCTATCCTCAGGGTGATCCACGGTTTCTATGTCCTTCAAATGTTCACTTAATATCTGAGGAGGGTTCTAAGAAAAGAATGAAGAAGAGGAGAAAAAACCAGGGGTCAGACAGAGACAAAGAGTGACAAAGAACCAAGACTTTTGCATCTGAATGCTAACTGCCTCATAGGTTCACATGTGTGAAGATATACGTTGATGGGGCTATATGAAAAGGCTCTGGAAACATTATGAAATGGTATGCGGTTGAGACTCATTGGAGGAAATAGGTAACTTGAGGCTTCATAGCATGTCCCACCTGCCATTCACTCTTTGCTTCCTGAGTGCAGATGAAATGTAAGTGGGCAGCTTCCTGTTTCTGCCAGAGGGCCTACTCTGCCTGCTACCATGTAGTCCACGCCATGTGGGACTGTATTTCTACAAAAGAAACCTTTTCTCCCTTAAGACGTCTTTGTCAGGGTACTGTATCATAGCAACAGAAAAGGAACTATCACAGACTCTGAACGGGAGACTTAGCAAAGTTCAAATAGACACAGATGAGGGCTTAACAGGATGACATCATAGAAAAGGTAGCAGATGTGAGAAGCTAAGTAAGATATGCACAGATAAATAGATGTGGTTGGGTAATTTTTCATCTGAGTTTGATGGTAAAAGATTGGAAAAATGGCAGAATAATATATTCATTATATACATAGAATACATATGGTGTATTCAAATGTTTGGTCATTTCACTGGGTGATGTTCGTACCTTAAAAGATAACACATTTCCCAACCTTCATGCAGTTCATAGTCTAGGTGACAAGTTCAATACAGAGTATCTGAATGTGCAAAGTGCAAAGAAAGGTATAGCTAGTCTGCAGGAAGTGGATGAAGTCCTGAGTAAATGTGTATTGTGGGACATGAACCAGCCATGTCAAGAACCAAAGCCTCAGTCCCATGGGGAATTGGCACATTCCACACCAGGTGAGGCTCAGAGAGATCGAGAAGCCGACCTCTGGTCCAAGAGTGAAGGTTTACAGGTCTGCAGTAATATATGACATATTTTCCCCCTTTACAACCTAAAGACTGCTCTCCGAGAAAGACTGCCTTTCGTGAGATTAGCTACACCTGCCTCCATGATTCAGCTGTTTACCATTAACCTGCCTCCATGCTCAACCATCTGTGATAGACACAGGCTTCCAGGATACTGTGGCTTCTCCATCAAAAAGCCCAGGACCTGGATCCTGGCTGTTCTGTGCCCATGTGTTTTGTCTTTTCTTCATTCTCTTGCTGCCCTAATCAGGTCAATCCCTGGACTCATGCTGGACCCACACACTAGGCATCTTCTTAAACTTCCACTGTTGAAGCATTTCCAATCACTGAGCTCATCAGAAAGGAGAATCTATTTAAAAAGAGTCTGTACCATTGGGAAGCAGTCAGAGAAACTACATGATGTCAAGCTATGGAGGCAGACAAAAAAGACTCACATAGATTTTAGTCAGTCTTTATAACATTTATAGTTGAAGAAGCAAACATCTACACATGAAAGCAATTCTCATGTATCATAGAGACTTCACAACAAATTAATATTTCTGCCACAAAACATATTTCAACACATGAAAAGTAGATAGATATATAAATTCAGGCCTAAAACCAGAGGCTAACATTGCTACAAAAAAATAAAAAGGGCCTTCAATGCTAAACATTTTTAGACTGCAAAACCATATTCAAACATCAGTAAAATATAAATTAAAAGCATGTTAAACCAATATGTTCTAGATTTATGTAACATTTACTCAGCATTATCACAGGGAAAATGTAATCTTCATGAGATGTGTTAGTTTCAATTAAAATCTTAACTTTCTTAAACAACTCCAGAATTCTTCACTGCTATAGTCAACTCAGGCCTTTTGGAGATTATCAGTAAAAAAAGATTTTCTACAATCTCACTAGTATACATGAACTGGCTTATCAGCAGTCCTACATACTCATACTGTTACGTAGCAGACTGCCGCCAGGTGTCATGCTAGTAGGCTTGATTCAATTAGTAACTTTAATTGAAGCTGAATGAAATTAATTATATAATTTTGAGCTGTTCAAGTTTAATTCCATTAGAATTAATTCATGAAACCAAGGCATTATGAAGCATTGCTGACTAAAAGAAAATAGGTACGAATAAAGCCTCTAGACACACTTGACGCATATTTGAATCCTGTCCAATATTCGAGAGCTAAGCACAGACCCTCTCGACTCCTTGCTGAATAAATGGCAATGCCACGTAGTCCATATACACTTGGATTTACAATGATGTAACCTACTGCCAAGTGGTGGGGGGCAGAGGAGGGTGGCGGCGCAGTAGAGTTCTTCCTACCCCAAATTCTTGTTAGGAGATAGTTTATTGTGCTTTTTTAGAAAGGAGTTTTCTTATCTGGAAATTCTAGACTGAGATGATCCCAAACGTCCTGAAGTTAAAAAAGGAAAAGAGAAATTACCACTCTGTGTCTCCTGATACAGGGAATAAATTCTGTGCAGTTCCCATGACATCACAATTACCAGCATATCCAACTTTGCCTTCTTTGTAAACTAAATCTCTTGCCTTGAATGCTGGTCCCAAGTGTGTCCTGTGATGATCCATTGCACCCAATCCATGCACAGCAAGGCCCAGTTAAGGTTCCCCGTGAAATCTTAAGTTGTCTTCAGCTAATACTTCACTTGGATAAACTAAAGTTCTGTGGTTGCTTGTCTGCTCCAGGCCCAGCTAATGCATGCACACCATTAGTTTACATTTCCTCAGCTTAATGGAAGGCCTTGTAAATAGTGGGTATGGCAGGCATCACTGAAGAAATAGAAGGATGGGTGAGAGAGAGAGAGGGACTCACTGGCAGATCTGTGTCAGGGGGAGCAACATTCCAACAGAATCGGCCTTTTCAACTGGCTGTGGCAGCCTCTCTTCCTTAAAGTGATAAAATACCTAATAGCAGATGACTGGATCAGTGTAGGTTTGCTGTGCCACTTCTGCCTTGGAAAGCCAAGGGTTCAATCCATTGTATTCTGGACATATGAAGATTTGTGATAGCAATTGAGCTGCTACGTGTGGGCCTATTACGTAGACCATCAGCACCAAGTGATTTCCCTAGCAGAAGACCGAGTTTGTATTTAGCCGTAAGATTTAACAAGTACAATCAATGGGCTCTACTTCTCCGTGTAGTGGATTATTCTCCTGTGCAGTGGCTCTTGGTTTTGGTGCTGAGTCAGAACCATGTAGGGAACTCTGGCCACATTCAGATGCATAGACCCCAACCTTAGAGGATCTGGTCCAGGTGGCCTTGGTGGATGGAAGGTCGGTATCAAAATGAAATGTGGCCAAGCTGGGCAGATAAGAAAATTCTTACCTTACGAGTCATCTCTTCACAAGATTCCAAGGAATCAAAAAATCAAAGTTTATGTAATCATCTAATTAACACATCTCAGGCTGGAGAAATGGCTCAGAGGTTAAGAACACTGGCTGCTCTTTCAGAGAACCCAGATTAAATTCCCAGCACTCACATGTCAGCTCACAGCTGCCTGTGACTCCAGTTCCAGGGGATCTGACAGCCTCACGCCAATTCACATAAAATAAAATTAAATAATTAACACATCTGTATTTAGTTATACTTCCTTGTCAGGACAAGTGTGAAAATACAAACTTTGAATGATTCATAATATCAATCAGTTCTACTGATAAAGTAAAT